ATTCAACAGAGTTGAATTGCTGTGCAACTTCGTCTCTTGGACCGCAGCTATTAATATACCATGCCGACACATAAAGGCGGTTATCTCCTCAATCTTGCTCTGTAGCCCGTTACAGTTGAATTGGAGGAGCTTCATGTGGTTCGGGAGACGTGTTGTGATGTGGGGTGTGAGTGAGGTGTATGTTCTTGCCGCCGTTGGCTGTGTGTGCTGCTGGGGTGATTGCCTCCCTGTGGTGGTAGTGGGGGGCGTCGCAATTGGTGTTAGCGACCGAGCAGCGCAACACGGGCCCTCGAAGTTCCCCGTCCAATCTCGCGTGGTGCGCAGACCTGAACATGCCCTAAAGTGGCACCAGCCAAGGCAGGTGTTGCACTTGACTGATGTCACATTACGGAATATTCTGGTCTGACATACCGTGCAGATTGTAGGGGGAACCAAGAGTTGTTGGCGGCGGCGTGTGGGTGGTGGTGCGGTTGTGTGTGTTATGTGGTCTGTGGTGGCTGTGGTATGTTGTTGTGTTGTGGCGACTGTGTGTGGTTGCTGTGTGAGTGTGTGGGGCTGCACGGGCGGACTATGGGTTGCCGTGGAGGCTGCTCTATTTGAGCAACAGGGGGCCACGTACGACGTGGTCCACTGTCTGTGTGTCCGTAGTCCCGAGCAGACCCTGAGGTGACTCCACCCCTCGCAGGCATTACACTTGACTGAGGTGGAGTTGTGGTGTAAACGTCTTCGGCATACACAGCAGGTGTATATTTCTGGCCCAGGGTTTGACTCGATGCCAGCCCTGAGTAGGAGAATGCGTAGTGAATGTTGCCCTATGGACGGACAACTTCTGAGATACTTCGCCGACCTAAACGGGGTTAGATCGCCGAAACAACAGCCCTTGGTCGGGTGAAACCCGAGTCATTCCGGTACGTAGAACCGGCTGTCGTGGGAATTTAGGAAATCGCCATTGGCGATTCTTGGCGATTTTTTCCCTTCAACTAAATTTTTTCCAATTATAAAAATATACTAAACTCAGTTTTCTATGATAATTTCACAGAAGAGGCTAATGAACTGCGTGATAGACTTGACTTAAGAAGCATATTAAAAGACTGTCAATAATGTTTAATCACCCTAATCGAAGAGCTTTTGAAACGATTACCTAGTCAATTAAATACTTTTAAAAAAGCTTTGATTTTGTCACCAAAAAAGTGACATGCCCATTCACTATTTGACTTTGAAGGAAAGAAAAACAGCGGAAACTGAATATTTAAATCTTTTAACTTTCCCATGGAATAACTTTTCTCAGAACCATTTCATCCGACTGTGAAGAATTTTGGATAATTGCGAAGAAAACCGCAACAGGCAATAAAGTGTTTGGAAATATATGTTAGTAAAATAGCCTTTATATTATTATCCTTGCCGCACTCACATGCTTTGTTGAGCGTGTTTTTCCGTTATGAATTCAACAAAAACTAATATTCGAAATAGGATGAGGTCGGAAAACCTTAATTCAATAGTTCGAATAAAGTGTTATATGAAGGCTAATAGTTTCTGCTGTAAAACGTTTCCAATATCAACATTGAATAGCTCAATATATGACAACAGAAATGTAAATCATTCAGACACTACAGGTGATTTTGAAGAAATTGTGGAAATAGCTGATCTCGCCTTGTTATAGGTTTTTATTTAATTTTTAGCGCCGAGCTCTTAAAAGCGGATTGTGCGATTAATCAAGTAATATGAGTTATAATAAATTTAATAATTGCGCAGTTCTATTGCAAATGAGTTGAAACAAATATTTTTAAAAAGTATGCGTATTTTTAAAGAAAATTGTTTGTACATCACTATTATATAAGTGATTTGTGTTATTTATTATTACCCTCTGAAGGTATTATATTCGTTTTTGGTTTTAAAAACTATATATTAACAAGATCGCATTTTTTAAATAAAAGATTTGTTAAATCGATTTCATGAATTTAAAAAAAAATTGCGATATTTGGCGACTTTTTTCAGAAATTGCGCTTTTTTGTAAACAATCTGGACACCCTGGTCAGAGCATACGCGTCTTAGCACACACGTCACTGTTGACAGTTACAAGTTTGAAAAAGTAGACAACTTCGTTTATTTAGGAACCAGCATTAACACCAATAATAATGTCAGCCTTGAAATCCAACGGAGAATAACTCTTCTCAACAAGTGCTATTTTGGACTGAGTAGGCAATTGAGAAGTATAGTCCTCTCGCGTCGTATAAAGATCACACACTCCTGTCGTCAATGGTGCATGGTGTCAAGTTAGCACTACATACTAAATTTTGTTCGAAAAAGGGTCAACTCAATTTTTTCCAGAAAAACGAAAGCTACAAATTTTTTCTTTTCACAACAAATTTTAAAGTTAAAAGCTACAATTAATGGCATAGTAACATATTGGATATCTCAATTCTATCGACTAGGTGTATGGTGTCAAGTTAGCACTACATACCATTTTCTCTTAAAAAACGAAAGCAACAAATTTTTTCTTTCCACAACAAATTTACAACAAAAAAGCTACAATTAATGCCGTTGTAACCTTTTCAATATCTCAATTCTGTCGTCAATGGTGCATGGTGTCAAATTAGCACTACATACTGAATTTTGTTCGAAAAAGGGTCACTCAATTTTTTCCAGAAAAACGAAAGCTACAAATTTTTTCTTTTCACAACAAGTTTTAAGGTTAAAAGCTACAATTAATGGCATAGTAACATACTGGATATCTCAATTCTATCGACTAGGTGTATGGTGTAAAGTTAGCAATACAAACTTTTTTTCTTAAAAAACGAGAGCTACAAATTTTTTCTTTCGACAACAAAAACACTACAATTAGTGCCGTAGTTAATTTTTCCAATTTCGAAAAGTGTAGTGCTAACTTGACACACGTGATATTAACTTTACTAAAGCTCTGAAATTATGAAAATTCCTTCAAGGAAATGGCAGAATTGAACTTTGTTGCAAGTTCAAATGGGAAATCTGCTTGCGACGGGATTGGTGGAAATTTGAAGAGACTAGAAGCTAGAGCATGTCTCCAACTCCTAACGTTACAACAAATTCGTACAGGGCTTCGGCTCTACCAATGGCGTAAGAATAATTTAGAGAAAAAGAAGGTGCTGGATGTGTCCAATGGGATGTCTGTAAAAATAACTGCGACTAACTTTACAGTGGATTTATTTCGACTATGACTACGTGCCAATCATTTAATCCTGTATTAAGCTAGTTTAAAAGGTTAAATAACATCCCTGCTGAAGTCTAGAAGAAGAAGTCTGATGAGGAGATGTGGTGATCTCCGAAATAGTGCTATAACTTCTACCGCTTAGACTTTGTTGCTTTTTCAATTTTTCCTAATAAACAATCGTGGTACAAAGCTCAATAAAAATATTAAAAATAAAATGTTAACAAGCCACAATAACATTGACAAATAACATCAAGTTAGCGAACTTCATATCCTTATTAAACGAATCTTTAAATCAATAAATAATGTTTTTCTTTTTAGTTCTTATTGTAATAAAAGCGTGTTGTTTTTTTTAAACTATAATTTTATTACTCATTTATTATTTTTTTGCACGTCTTTCCTTTTTATTGTTTTACTAAAAGGACTAACCTTGAAGCTATCATTGGAGAACTAATATTATTTTGCAATGAAACCGAAACATCAACAATATCAACAACACTCATTCATAACCTTTCAATGTCTATTTATCATATTGCTCGAGCGTTAGACGATCTAGAGTCCATACGCATAAGTAGCCCATTACGCCCCTTTGGGTATTTAAAGCTGACATTATAGACAATGTTTTATGCAAAAAAAATAAAATTTTTAAATGCTATAATAAAAAAAAATCAAAAAAGTAAAATGTGTACTCTTTTTTTATTTTTATACGTTGCACATTAATGTAAAAAATGTATAATTAAAGCCCATAATAAGACGGAAGAAATACATTTTTTTTCATTAAGTTTCGTTAAAAGATATCCAAGATATAGCACTCTAATGAAAGTTATGAATGGGATTGGGGATCGGTACTTGGTGGTCTAGTTCGGGTTAAAGTCCCACACTGACAGGTGTAGGCTTTCGATGCTTCCTCCTCGTAAAAGGAACACTTGATGAGCATTTTTTTCAGAGCTGATTTATCATACTTGATGGATGTATATATCATACTTGATGTATGTATGTATCATACTTGATGTATGTATGTATCATACTTGATGTACATACATATGTATCTATCACGGTTGGTCTATCATACTTGATGTATACATATATGTAAAAAAAACGTATTTTATCAATTCCTTCATTAAAAACAATGATTTACGTCTTCTCATAATAATTATGTGGGACTTTTTTTCGTCTCGTAGGACCTTTTTTAAGACGGAAATGATTTACGTCTTTTCATAATAATTACATGCTACTTTTATTTTTCTCGTCTCTCGTGACGTTTATTTCAAGACGACAATGATTTATGTCCCACGTTTTCTCCTAATAGAATCTGTACATGTACTGCCGATTTCACGACATTAAACCCAAATATCTCCGAGCTCGATTATTGGAATTTGATTTGCTAACATCTGGCAACCCTTTCAATAAACTAAAACCATGACGTCCGTAAACCTAGCTAACCCAAGTCGCCAAAAGTCAATAAAAATTATCGAGGAATTAGGTGTATTTTAGGTGTTAACTAGGGCCTCCAAAATTCATTTAGGTGCTCCATTGGTTTCCGAGAAATTCCCAAAAATATGTTGGTCAGCTAAGTTCACGTAAGCCTAGCCGACCCATCTTTAAATTTCGATTTTAAATTTTCCAAATATATGCTGGAATTAGGTGTCTTTTAGGAGTCCTTTAACGCTACAAAAACTAATTTAGTAGCTTCATTGGTTTCCGAGAAATTCGCACAAATGTGTTTTTCAGCTAGCTTAGCGCAGTTAGCCTAGCTGACCAATCTTTAAATTTTTGTTTTTAATTTTCGAATTACATATAAGCAGGAATTAGGTGTCTTTTAGGAATTCTTCAACGCCACCAAATCTAATTTAGGAGCTCCATTGGTTTCCGAAAAATTCTCAAAAATGTGTTGGTCAGCTAGGTTTACTTTAAATTTTGGTTTTAAATTTTCCAAGCATTTGTGGAAATTAAGTAAAAAACACCTAATTCCTGCATATATTTCAAAAATTAAAAACAAAAATTTAAAGATTGGCCAGCTTAGGTTTACGCAAACCTAGCTGACCAACACATATTTGCGAATTACTCAGAAACTAATGGAGCTCCTAAATTAGTTTTGGTGGCGTTGAATAACACCTAAAAGACACCTAATTCCTGCATATATTTGGAAAATTTAAAACCAAAATTGATGGGTCAGCTAGGTTTACGGTTTAGTTTTGGTGGCGTTGAAGAACACCTAAAAGACACAGTGGCGGATCCAGCGGGGGGTTTTGGGGGTTAAACTACGTGCCAGTCAGTGGCGGATCCACGGGGAGTGTTTTAATACATTGACGCCATATTATACATATATATGTGCCATACAAATTTCGAAAATTAAAAACAAAAATTTAATGATTGGTCAGCTAGGTTAACAGCGCTAGGTTAGCTGAAAACGCATTTTTGCGAATTTCTCAGAAGCCAATGGAGCTGGTATATTAGTTTTGGTGGCGTTGAAGAACATCTAATTCAAGCATATATTTGAAAAATTTAAAACCAAAATTTAAAGATGGCTCAGCTAGGCTAGCTAGCTAGCTTTACGTAAACCAACCAACACATTTTTGCGAATTTCACGGAAACCAATGGAGCTCCTAAATTAGTTTTGGTGGCATTGAAGAACTCCTAAGACACCTAATTCCTGCATATATGTATTTCGAAAATTAAAAACAAAAATTTAAAGATTGGTCAGCTAGGTTAACAGCGCGAAGTTAACTGAAGAACATTTTTTTGCGAATTTCTCGGAAACCAATGGAGCTCCTAATTTAATTTTTGTGGCGTTGAAGAACACCTCAAAGTCACCTAGTTTCAGCATATATTTGGAAAATTTAAAACCAAAATTTAAAGATGGGTCGGGTCAGCTAGGTTTATGTAAACCTAGCTGACCAACACATTTTTGCAAGTTTCGCGGAAACCAAATGACCATCTAAATTAATTTTAGAGGCCCTAATTAAAACCTCAAAGACACCTAATTCCTCGATAATTTTTCTTGATTTTTGGCTACTTGGGTCAGCTAGGTTTACGGACGTAGAACCATGTAAAAGCAAAGCCCTTTAATTTGACACTACATTTTTGAAAATCGAACGAACGATACAGTTTTGATGACATCAACAATCGTGGCGTTAAATATTCAAGGCGTCAAATCTCCGAACTTAATTAAGAAGTTTCATTTCAATAAAAGTTCCATATAGTTATTAAGATAAGACGTAAATCATTTCCGTCTTGAAATAAACGTCCCGAGAGACGAAAAAAAACAAAAGTCCCGTATAATTATTATGAGAAGACGTAAATAATTTTCGTCTTGAAATAAACGTCCCGAGAGACAAAAAAATATAAAAGTCCCATATAATTTACATCTTAAAATAAGCGTCCCCCGATACGAAAACCACTTTTCCATTGTTCAGTAATAATTATAGAGCAATATTTAATTGTATTTCTTATAATCGTTATGGTCTCTGGATATGTTATATTAGTAGGAAATTAAAAATTAGGAATCATAATCAAAATTATTTGCAGCTTGAATTAGAAGTTTAAGTAGAAGTTAGGGATGGTAGTGAAAATGAATTTTGGTTACGTAGGTGATAACGAACAAAGTTGCATTTTAAATTTTTGTCGTACGTTTTAGTGAGTTTTTAACTAATTCAGGAACAGTGTGTCCACTTATCTATTACAAAAAGCAAAACTTATTACGAAAAACAACAATTGAACAATTTTTTAACTTAGAAAAAAAAAATTTTTTTTTTGTATTACTTTGGACCACGTTAACCGATTTCTATAATTATTTTTTAAACGAAAGGTCGTACCTCAGAGGTGGTCCCATACTAATTCGGTTTAGATCCGATAATTGGATCATGAAGAAATTAACTTTTTATATTAAAATTGAAGCCGCTTTAATTTTTTGCTTAACCTTTACTAGCTCAGAAGGTTTTTATAACACAACCACCCAGAAGAGTCTGGGTGCATTCCAAAACGTCAAAATTTAAAGCATCAGTCTTTCTTTCTAAACCGGACTAAAAGAAAAAGTCTAACTTGCGAAACCTAGTTGAAAACTAGCATCTAACCGTGGTTGCGCACATTTGGCATTACAATCTTCTGAGGTTTAGAAATAAATGAGACTGATGCTTTGTATTTTGACGTTTTGGAATTCACCCTCTGTTAGACTCTGAGCATTATTTTATGAAGAAAACCAGGGAAGCCATATATATATAGCCATATATTTCCCACTACATCGTTGGTTTTCGTTGTAATCTTCATCCGTATATTGGTGGTATATTTTCAGAGTAAGACGTATTTTAGTGGTTCTCTTAAGTATTTGTGTTTTCCCGCGTAAATAATTTAAAAATTTCTTCAAACTACTGATCGNGAACGAACGATACAGTTTTGATGACATCAACAATCGTGGCGTTAAATATTCAAGGCGTCAAATCTCCGAACTTAATTAAGAAGTTTCATTTCAATAAAAGTTCCATATAGTTATTAAGATAAGACGTAAATCATTTCCGTCTTGAAATAAACGTCCCGAGAGACGAAAAAAAACAAAAGTCCCGTATAATTATTATGAGAAGACGTAAATAATTTTCGTCTTGAAATAAACGTCCCGAGAGACAAAAAAATATAAAAGTCCCATATAATTTACATCTTAAAATAAGCGTCCCCCGATACGAAAACCACTTTTCCATTGTTCAGTAATAATTATAGAGCAATATTTAATTGTATTTCTTATAATCGTTATGGTCTCTGGATATGTTATATTAGTAGGAAATTAAAAATTAGGAATCATAATCAAAATTATTTGCAGCTTGAATTAGAAGTTTAAGTAGAAGTTAGGGATGGTAGTGAAAATGAATTTTGGTTACGTAGGTGATAACGAACAAAGTTGCATTTTAAATTTTTGTCGTACGTTTTAGTGAGTTTTTAACTAATTCAGGAACAGTGTGTCCACTTATCTATTACAAAAAGCAAAACTTATTACGAAAAACAACAATTGAACAATTTTTTAACTTAGAAAAAAAAAATTTTTTTTTTGTATTACTTTGGACCACGTTAACCGATTTCTATAATTATTTTTTAAACGAAAGGTCGTACCTCAGAGGTGGTCCCATACTAATTCGGTTTAGATCCGATAATTGGATCATGAAGAAATTAACTTTTTATATTAAAATTGAAGCCGCTTTAATTTTTTGCTTAACCTTTACTAGCTCAGAAGGTTTTTATAACACAACCACCCAGAAGAGTCTGGGTGCATTCCAAAACGTCAAAATTTAAAGCATCAGTCTTTCTTTCTAAACCGGACTAAAAGAAAAAGTCTAACTTGCGAAACCTAGTTGAAAACTAGCATCTAACCGTGGTTGCGCACATTTGGCATTACAATCTTCTGAGGTTTAGAAATAAATGAGACTGATGCTTTGTATTTTGACGTTTTGGAATTCACCCTCTGTTAGACTCTGAGCATTATTTTATGAAGAAAACCAGGGAAGCCATATATATATAGCCATATATTTCCCACTACATCGTTGGTTTTCGTTGTAATCTTCATCCGTATATTGGTGGTATATTTTCAGAGTAAGACGTATTTTAGTGGTTCTCTTAAGTATTTGTGTTTTCCCGCGTAAATAATTTAAAAATTTCTTCAAACTACTGATCGGCCGGTGTACCTGTGCGCTGTAAGTTTTTCGTGAGACTGCGAACACCTTTACTCACCTGATTTGGTATATTCCTGCTTAATTAAGTAAACAAATGAATAACAAGCAAACAATCATGCCAATAATACGCAAAAACTCAGCAAGAAAACCGGCAACCCCCCTAAAACTCCTCTCACACCTGCATCGGCCGCATTTGAGAGGATGGAGAAGAAATTGGAGGTGCAGAGGGACTCAACTATCGAGCAGTTGACAGCCGTTATGATGAGATCAGAAGAGAGAGTAATGGAGAAGACCAGTGAGCTGGCCGCCGATACGCAAAAATTTAAAGCTATCCATTGCAGCTATTGACAAACGTGTGGCTGCAGTTGAGAGCACATGCACTGAAGTTCTCAATCTTCGCAATGAACTTGCTGCTGCTCAGACCCAGCTCCGCGCTCTCGAAAGCAGCGCAGTCTCCACTGACTTATTAGTCAACGGGATTCCTCAAGCAGCCGGAACTGCCTGAACTTTTTGCAAAGATTTGCGGTGCAACTCAGCATAAACCCCCGCCTGTACGAAATGCTTTTCGACTAAAAAGCGTAAAAAGTAATGGGCAAAAAAGCAGCGACAACTGTCCCGTTGTTCTAAAGTTGTTCTCTTCACACGATCGAAATCAGCTCATGAAATCTATTGCGGTCTTCTGCAGATCCCAAAAGAGATCGCTTGCGCTCTCTGATGTTGAGTTGCCGGGCTATGGGTCAATATTTGTACATGAGAGTCTGCCCAAAAAATTGCGAGATGTGTAACGTATGCTTCAGAGTTCAGGCCTCAGTATATCCAGTAAAAAAAAACTGTGGTGAAGTCCTTTATGGGGATAAAGTTTCCAGATGTGAAATTTTTGGTAGCACAAAATTTCTTACACGCACGGTTGCTTTTCATAATTAATGAAATAAACTATAAAACAAATAAATAAATAAAAGAATTTATTAGAATAAAGTTTCGTTTAGTGCATAAATTTTACGAATAAACAAAAATATACGGATTTACTTTAATAAATAAATGTCGAAAAAATTTCAAAGCCACCGTTTGATGATAAATTTGTTACAAAATAACATTGCTTATCGGAACGATCTAAGCACTGCTGCTCAAAAGTTGCTTTTCGTACAAAAACGCCCCTGGCCCTTGTTGTTGCTGTGTCGCATAGGGGTGAATTTAAATTTCCAAGCAATTTGCTTGTGTCGAAAGTTAAACAAAGAATTAAGTAATTTATTTCCTAAATTTATAAATTTGTTTGATGTAAATATATTTATTTTAGGTACATAGCAAGGTGAAAGTTTCGTGAAAATTTGAGCACTCGCCATTAGGGCATCATTGATGGAATTCAAGAGCTTCATATTTGTACTGCGTCCTAGATTAGCATTTTATTTTCACTGCAAAATATATCACATATATCGCTGTACAAATATGTACATATATCACACCGAATAAGAGAAAAAGTACACTTAAATTATAAAATAACTCAATTCTATTGCAAAACGTATACAAATTCACGCTTTTGTCTTGGTTTTCTAGCACAATAATAATGCTCTAAGTGATGCATTTTCTGTTTCCGGAAATCTTGGATGATGTTCTGCAAAATTAGCTCCGAGCAACTTAAAGTGAAATACCTTCTTACTGCTCTTGTTAAATTATAAAAAAAAATGGTTCAATTCCAGAATAATAAAATAGAATCATGTATGGAATGAAGAAAATAAATATTTATTCCTATCACGAATATTCTGTCGGAATCAAATGATGAGTACTCGAATGCCTACAACTTGTACTTTTAGTTAAGTGTTTGGCCAGTCTTCTCCAATTTGTGGGTCGTGTCTTGATTAAGGTAACTCGTTACAAAATAGTATGAGAATATCTACATATCGTATATGTATATTATTGTATATGACTATAATTTATAATAGAAGCCATATCAATTTATAAAACATGTTTCGCCATTTAAATTAATAAATCTAAATATATGTGTTTTTACGTTTAATATGGTTTACATTTAACTAAATTATTTCATAACACATATTCTTAAG